TCAGCAGTTCATTATTTGGGAGGATGGTATATTTTTCTTATTTTGGCTCTTCTGCTGAGGATTTGTGACACAAAGCAACCCACATACCTTCTTGGGTTCCTTTCCCCCCCTTTTAAGATTAAGTTAGTGTTTGTAAGCATAGAGAGAGATGTTTAATTTACAAATAGATGGGTACGTACAACAACTCTTACATAGATAAGCATAGCAGTGAGCCTGCTTTCATCTTCACAATGAAGAAGGTCAATGCAGTGTGTATAGTCACTGCTTTCTTCTTTTTTGCAGATTTTTATTGCATTTGGAGAACTGTTTCTATCTGTAAACTGGGCTGTTGTGACAGACATACTGTTGGTAAGTGCTTGTGAAACTATTTCCTTATTTCAAGTTTTTCAGCTTTTCTGAACATAATACTGTTCATAATCCTGAATCTTGGTGGCCAGAAGGACCTCCGCCTTTCAGGAAGAGATGAATGAACTTTTATGAAGAATACCCTTATTGGTACCCTGCTAACCCTAGGGATGTAATCACGCACCACAATGTACTGCTGTGCAAAGATGCCAGCGACAGTATAGGTGTAGTGGTGCAGTAGTCCAAGCTCACTGTAAGCCCAGAAAGGAGATGTACTGATTTGGATGAAACTCATGCAGGTGGAACTACCTAGTGCTGCTGGTACCTACGCTAGTTTGGATTTTCTGTATAGCTCTGTGTTGTTGGATGTCTGCCAGAAAATGGTCTGCACCAGAAAGAAGGTCACTTTCTGTCTATGACCAGAGATTTTCTCTTTGTGCTGCAAAGGTTTGAAAAGATGCTCCAAATGAGGGAAAAACAACATTCTGTAAACTAAGGTTAGTGAATCCGTACAGTTCATCCTTCTGCACTTATTCCAGAATACAGTGCAGATAAATTCCAGCACTCGCAAGTCAAATTCGTAAGTGGTGCTACACTGCCAAAGCATTAGGCAAGCAGTGATGCTTGTGAGACTCTTGGGGATTCCAGGACTGACACCACAAGCCCAAGGAATAGCAGTGCATTATTTAATTTGAATTCTGTCATCAGTAACTTTCTTTAGAGAGGAGTGATGTGAAAAGCGTACATCTTGTGGCACAGTTAGTCTAGGTATCAATGAGCAGCTAGTTCTTTTTATCATTGCAAAGGCTTTTAGGGTTAGTAACTTTTTAACATACTTGATTTTTTACTCAAAGGAAAAATTTGGCAACCTTTGGTTTATGCAGTAGCTTCACAGACACTAATCAGTGTCTGTGTAAAACATGGGACAGATATTGTTACTATCACTGAACTAACCAGATCATCACAGTCTTATGAAGTAGTTTGTATGAATTTTTTTTTTTAAATCCATAGTATGAACAAGCTGAACATAGTTGACCAGTCAAATAAGCAAGGAAATGGTCTACCTTGTTCATATCTAGTAATCAGACTGCGGAAAGCTGATTTAAGTACCAAAGCCACAGCTATTAAAATGAACGACAATCCTTTTGTTGCTACCCATGGGCATAAGACAAAGCATTTAAATTGACACTATCCTTTTCTACAACGAGTAGAGTACTGCATCACAAATGAGACCCAGACTCTGTACTTTGGAGAATCTTCTTCTGTGGCATCACTGTGTTGCAGAGTGGTGGGTGCGACTGTAATCCAAACATTTCAAGCAGGATACTACCCGAGAGACAGAGATTGTTGAGACAAGTGTGGCACAGGCAAAATGCTGATGCTGTTGGTACTGATAGAAGGCAAAGTAGGGAAATTGTGTAAAGCCATTAGGACAAGTGAGAGAAGACACAAAGGTAAGGGCAAAGCAGAGCAGAAATCTCTGACTGTTTCCCCCCCTCAGGCTAAGGATGGAAAACCAGTAGCTGAAGAGAGCCTAAGCAAGAGTCACATGAGCATTTTCCATTTTATGTAATAGTTTTTCATTCTAAGGGAACTCAAATCTATTTGCAGATTGCTTCTGCAAACTCCACTGTCATAATAAATCTTTCATAGAAGAACCACAGTGAATGCATTAATATGTAACACAACATGCAATGATGCACAATAGCATGTCACAAGAGTTTAGGACGGTAAAGAAAACTTGCAGCCTGTGGCTTATGTGGAACACAGTTGCCTACAAGGCTGTCATCATCGCTTGCTACCACAGGAACTGAAAATTTATAACTGAGGTTGCTGTCACTATGGTCTTAGTTGCTCAGATACACAACTTTCTTGGTATTTGTAACAGCTAACTGAAAACAGGTGGTAGAAAATCTGAGCAGAGGTAAAAGTATTTCTATTACAGTCTTCTGTGTAAAAGGATGAGAAAGCATATAGCCAAATGCTAAGCACCGTCAAGTGACAAAAGGGACTAGCTGTGAAGCACTATAGAACTCTCCTTCCACTGACTTGACCTTGCCTTGTTGACATGGGCCTGTTTATCCTCACACTTCATAACTAGAAAAATCTTTCTTTACATTCTGATTGAGATGATAGAATGAAACAACTTCTATTTCACGGCTCTTCAAGAAAGCACTGCTGATATTGACTATTGCATTATGTTCTCAAGTTAGTTGTTCATGGTACTGCTCTCTACATGTCAGTTTTCTACACTCTGGAGTTTTAGTTAAAAAAAAAAAATGCAGTTAGCATTAGTGAATTGGTTGCTTGCTTAAAACCTCAGCCAGCAGCTGGAGGGTTTTGCTTCCTCTTTGACTCTCAAAGAATGGTCAGAAACAATTATCCTATGAGACAAAAGCTGTAGCCTTGAAGCGGTGAACACATGCAGAAAAACTATCACTGGTCCAAACTGAAATTTTTTATTAGCTTCTATTTCAGCTTATTTTGAAATCACTGGGTTTTTACAACAGAACCAAGTACTATTGCAATTAGCATTCTTGTTACATCAGTTGAGGCACCATTGAAAGATTTTTTTAAAGTTTCTCAATTTACTTTTCTTTGAACTCCTACATCTGCATTTTAATTCTCTCCTCTGTTATTGTTAAAGATGAAGGTGACATCCCTGAGTTAGATACTGTTGATACATGAGGGGGAGAGTAAGGCAGGTGATTGCTGTCAGCTCTTTCCTTCAGTTCCTTTCTGAACCCAAACTGCGAAGTCTGCAAGGAACTGTGCTTTCATTCAGCTCACTCACTCAGGTCTCAGCTTGCTTAGGGAATGCTGCAACACATTGCAGCCTGCAGGAAGTCTATTGGGAGCATCACTGCCATACCCTGCATCCTTGTAAATCCAGAAGAGGAGGAAGTTCTTGTCTCCCAAGTGACTGACACCCCTCATTCGTATTTATTTTAGAAATTTTTGGGTTTAGGTACAGGCAATATTGCATCAACTGGCAATAAGTGGAAAGATAAAATTTTGGCAGAGCAGAGCTCTGTAGTGGTATGTTCCTCCTGAGAGTAGACATTCAGTGTATTACCATGAATGTGCTTTGGGTAGAATCTGTTGAATTCTAAATGTTACTAACTGTTTTATCAGAAAAATGATGGAATTCAGCTGACTTTGTGGATGTCTGCTCATTCAGTGGCAATCTTATTTGGGAGTTGTGTGTCACCCTTCTGAAAACCCATGGGTTCAGTATATTACTGCTATTACATTGACTGAAGGGTGCCATAGATAATGATAGTAATTTCTCTTTTTGCTTTGTTTTCTGTGTGAACTGGTAGGATTTCTGATAATGTGGTTGGATTTGCTAATACATGTTCTTATTTTGCCATGAAAATGACTTTTCTTTCTTCCCACATGGCACTACTAGCCAGACAATGTAGCTAGGAATTCATTTATCTTGCAACCTGTGGAGCTGAAGACAAAGGAAGATGCTGGGTGAATGATAAGGACTTTCTTCTTTTGTGACTAATACATCAACATGCATTGCGTGTAGCAACCTTTGTGCCTCTTATTCAGCTGTAAACATGAAGGTATCTACTGTACAACCACAGCCATAATGTGCAAATGGAGAAGTGTTGTAGCTGCCTTGCTTACAATATACTGGCTTACTGGGAGGCTGTACACGGAGTGTCTCTTATGAAATACGTTTGCTATCTGTGAGTTAATGGGACTCTGTCTTTTAGGATTTTGGCAGCTAATAGTGTAGGAGATGCTGGAACTGGAAACTAATATGGGTTTTGGGAAGGCTACCAACATGTCCCCGTCTTTGTTTGGAAGTGCCCTGGGAGGTATAGAAGCGTATACCAGCCTGTCTGTTCCATCTGCTTTTTTAGCTGACAGCTCTGTCACATAGTCTGCAGGAGCATCTCTAAAACCTCCAGAGACAGCACAACAGGGTTTGCAAACTACATCTGTTTGGGGCACCCTGCTTACCTGTCAAGGCATCTGGACTGGGATCTCCTAGGAGATGACAGTGTGTAGGATGTCATCTGCATTGCTGACATGGGGTGGGTAACTGGGCAGTCCCTGTGGACGGGCAGGATGCCATGGTTATTTCAAAGTCCCTGTGTGTGGGAGTGTTTGGTTTCTTCTTTTCCTAGTGAATCCTACAGTGCCTCGAGCTCTTGCCTATGGTTTCCATTGCACAGAGGAACCTGAATAATAGCACAGGCAGAGTTTGTATGAGCCTTGTAACTACAGGAAATGTCCTAGCCTTCTCTTCCATTTTTCTTGTTACAGCTTTGTTCCATGTTTCTCTTGTAGTTACAGATATGGGATATTGAGGAAACGTGGTAAGGAAGTGGTGCAGACCACTGAGAGAGCAGAAGTGCATTTATCTTTTCTCATGCCTGCAATGCACACAGTATATTAAGTGCATCATAATATTTGATTTGTATTTCTCAAACACAGCCTGTCATTATCAATAAAAGAAAAGAAAGCTGAATCTAGGAGAGATTAAATGATATCCTTGGAGAGCCAAGAACTGACAGTCTCCAGTCTAGTACAGTCTGTCATAGCAAGGTCTACTTCCCAAGCTCAGAGTTTTCCACTGTAGTTTCTTTCTCTTTCTGTACAAGAGCCTGTGCCCAAAGTGCAGATGCTCAACTGGTACTCCAGGCAGGTTCTGAGAGAAAATGAGACTGGAGTGGACTGCATGCCCTCAGTCTGGGCCAAAGTGTGCCACGACCACAGCAAGGAGGAGCTGTTGGACTGTTCCTTCACCCCACGGACGACAAGGATTTCAGCTTGCAGATCAGCCAGTCTCACATGACTGTTCTTATACTGACAGGGGACTGGATGCAGTGTGATGGCAACATGACAATAAAGTGGTTTTCTGTAACTCTGAAGAGATCTCCAAGACATCCCTGTTTTAATATTTATTATTGTTGAAGCACTCTATGTGCATATTCCTAATGAAAAATAAATGTTCCATCCATGGTTAGAAATATCTAGTTTGGAGAGGCTAGGAATGGAAAGGGATACAAGCTAGCCGTATGCGTACAAAGGAAGGAAGGAGGTTGTGTCTTTTAATTAAACTGCACTGTATAGAGTACTCTTCCTGGCTGCAAAGATGCTGTTTTAAGATGTTGTGTGATTTGTGTATTCATGTTTGTGGCCATTTCTGGCTAAGAGGGGCACTGCCAATATGTGGACTGGTTCTTTACTGAAACTGGTTGCAATATGGGGTAAGCAGAACCAAAAGGCTCCTGCTCAATGGAATGAGTTATATGAGCTCTTGAGAAGCTCCTGCTCTGAACAGAGGAAATTTCCCTGTAGTAAAAAGGACGTCACTGCTCATTGCTGTGGTTCTGGCGTTCCAGGTGGGTGTAAGGCACATTACTGCACAGAAAACCCTGGCTACAAGAAAGGTTTACAAGGCAGAGATTAGAGGACAGATAGCCAAGTTGGCTATAATTTTTGCTAATTGTGCTGCGGGAAATCTGTCTATTTTCTTTCTCATTTTAGATTAAAAGCTCTGTTAAATCTAAATGGGATTCGGAGCCTCACTTCCTAAGGAAACAAGACTTACTACAGTCTGTGTCTGCTTTCTCTTGAAGTTTTGAAACTGTGAATTTCAACCAAGTTTGATAAAGAGTTAGACACCTTAGGAAGACTCAAGTTCATACAAGCCTTGTGAAAATATGTGACCTTGCTGAGAAAAATTGCTCAAATTGGCACCCCCTGGAAGAGCTGCGTTTTAGGCAAAGACTCTGCAGCACGTACAGCTTGTCAAACATGAGAAAAAATGGTAGAAATACGTTTGAGAGAGAGAGACATACAGCATGAAAACTATAGCAATGGAAAAAGTTTGGCATGGTACTTAAACTACCAGATGTAAATTGTGCATTATTCTATGAATGGGTTTTTATCAAAATAATGTTTTTTAGGTGTTTCAATTCTGTATGTGCTCCAGTCTTCATACCACGAATGTATGTCATGCTAGCTCCTGCAAATGGGGGGCTGCAAGAGGGAAAGGAACGCAGTGCTACGAAATCCTCTGTCAATCCACCCCTGAATGCAAACCTTTACATTAATATAGCTTATTGTCCTTCCTGTTTCTGCATCTGTGCTATGGATTTGTAGTTTCAGTATAGTTAAAATGCTGTAACTTACTGGTGTGTATAGGTCGTGACTGCATATGGCACTGCAGTATTTTTTGCTTTCATTCTCACAACAGTAATTAACCTTGGGGTCTTGCACAACGTTGCTTCCTTACCTGCCAATTTTAATGTCCATTAATGCAGTTCCACTCACTCGAAAGATATGGCATTAAAGTTGCTACTGTGATATAGCTACATCTTGGTGGTAGGTAAATATTTTTTTTATCTAATATTCTGACACCTCTTTAAACACAAAGAATGATAATAAAACTCTAAGTTAAATGTGAGATGAGGATCTTTTTTTCTTCTAAACCCAACTAGCCATGTGTGTTAGTGTTTCCATGAAGGCAGCTATAAAGCCACAATATAAAGCCACCAGTCACCCTTTTAATTAGTGTTTGAGACACCCTACGTGACATTCAGATCAGTTTCCAAAAAAATCAAGTTGGGGAATAGCGGACTGGGAAAATATTAAGCATTTTGTCTCTGATATGAGCAGGTGGTTGGAAAACAAAGGTATGAAGGTTTAAAATTGCTTCTGTCTCATCCTGACTGTGAATGCTTTTTGCGTAAATGTATTATTGAACGAGAGAGACACAAATTATATAGAATCATACTGTACTTCTTCAGGCACACTTATTCTTCAGTAGCACAGACATAAAGCGCTTATTACCCCCAAATGACTATATTTAATTTAAAAAAATAGTTCTAATCTATGTGATGCTTTGCTGTGTTCTGGATGTGCACCACATCTTCTTCTCTAACTTGTTATTTAAACTGTGTGCACTCAAAAGCATAATAATTTTGAGGTATTGTTACTGGAGTAGCTATATCTCAGGTGATACCCAGTTACAAGCAGCAAACTTCTGCCCTCAAATCTGTCATCAAAGCACCATCAGCCATCTTCTGGTCTGACAGGTTGGGTCCCCTTCCTCTGTCTTCACGCGGTCTGCAAGGTCTCAGCTGACATCCTTTATAGCCATGGCAGCTACTTCAGGTTCCAGGTACTCCAGTTTGCCCCCAGCAGTCTAGACCATCCCTGCTGACACAGTGTCATAAGAGGTTTTTTCTCAGAGGCTGTCAGTGCTGAATCTCCTTATTAGTAAATCAGTATGACTGCAAGGCTTACTGGCTGCAGGTTTCCGTTAGTTGCATGGCCAAGTGAATCTGTACAAGCTGCTGTGAGTCTACGAATGGAGGCAGGGTAGTAATTTTTTCCCTACTTTATTGTCATTCCCCCTTGTGTGTTGCTTTCTTGAATGTTTTGTTCCTCAACAAAACATCCAGTGTGCTCTTTTGCTCAGAATAACTTCTCTGTCTCCAAACTTGTAAATAGTGTTTGAATATGAAATATATAAAAATGAATATATTCCTCTCTCTAGGATGTTATATAAGTACTTGGCCACTGATGAGATTCACTCTGTTAATATTCGTTCTCTTGTGGGTTGTGTTTTGTTTCAGTATGTTGTGACACCAAGACGGCAGTCTACAGCTATTGCTCTGCAGATTTTGGTGAGCCATTTGCTGGGAGATGCAGGCAGCCCATATCTCATTGGGATTGTAAGTCAATTCTCTGCTTATTGAGCTTTCCTTAGCATAAAACTTTTAGAAACCGACAGACAGACACTCACAGTATTGTAGGCACTTCCTGGTCCAAAACTAGAAATTACTTAAATTGGTGGCCTTGATACTAGAATACAGAGACATTTTTCTAAACAATTTTACTTGAGTGAAACTTCTGGTCCTGTGACACTGCAGGTATGTCGAATATAATCCTATACCTATAGGTATGAGTCGTTCCATGCAGTGTGTAGAAATGTATTTTGATTTTAAATTTGTAAACTCATAAATTTTTGAAGGTGTACATTTTTGCAAAGACAGTGACATGGGTATTGTACTTGGGTTTAAGTACTTTCTGCTAAGTTTGTGAGGAGCTTCATGGAAATTAATCAAATAGCATAAAACCTAAGACTCTTCATTCAAATCTTGAAGTTTGAAATCTTGCAATTAGTCAGTGGTCTTTTGAAGATCAGAACAAGAGTGACTGCAATGGTTGCCTTTTGACGCTACTTGGCATTCAAAGCTCTGGTTACAAATTACCTTAACCTTGGATTCCGGTGTTGCTTGAGACCTGATTTCTTTGCCCTTCCTAGATTTACTTGATCTTAGGTGCTTCTGGACAAAACAGCCTAGTACTGTTTTCTCCTTGCAGTTCATTTGGTTTAGTTCCAGTGGATGGTATCTGTCAGTGTTGTTTCCTTCCTTCATTGTTTTTGATTTAAGACACGGTAATTCTCCACACAGTAGCTAACCGATCACTCACCTTGATTTTTCTGCTTTACTGGACATGGGAGAGAGAGTGAGTAGTTGTTGTTGTTGTTTTAAAGTTTTGTTTACATGGAAGTTTATTTTAAGAAGTTCACCTCAGGAATATCTGTTCTTTCTTTGTCACATGCTAACAGTGTTAGGGTTAGACAGGGCCAGACAGAAATGCCCCAGTAAGCTGTGCCTGCAGGCATAGCTGCTGCTGTTCCAGCCAGACAGGAGATCCCCCTTGTCCTCAACTGGGTGAAAACTGGAGTCTCAACTGTGTGATCTGTCTGGCAGAGAAGAGAGCCCTCTCTCACTGAGAGTTTCCTTCTGCTGGCTCTCTTTTTTTAGCAAATGAAGAGCCCACTTTGCTCATTGGTGTGTATTGGGAGACTATTGCCCTCGCACTGATTTGGCTGTATGCATGGGGGAACATAATAACCGACACCCCTGTCTCATGAAAAATGGGTGAAATGATACGCAAAAATAGGAGATATCTTAAAAGCTGAAATATGTCTTGTGCATTCTCTCTTTGACACTTCTATTGATTTATGCTTCTTGCCTGAAAGATTGAAATGTTTGTATCCCTTAGCCGCTGTTCTTTGCCATATTTAAGGCACCGGCTTCCTGCTGGACGTGCTGCTGCATCCTGCTAGTAACTGTGTGCAGAATATTTCTTACGCAGTACCTTGCACACAGTTGCCTTAAATAGCAGCTAACTAAAAAGTGTGAAGACAAAAAAAGCTCATCCAGATGAGATTAACCTCAGGTAACCTTGCAACTTTGCAAAGAACAGAGACAATAAGTCCAGGAATAAAACTGCTTGATGCCCAAGTGGGGTCCTATCCAAGGAGCACAACATTGTCTTCTGGAACGCTTCTGTGAACCAACATATCAATGCTGCCTGTGTCTGCTGTTGATTAAACACCGAATCTTCGGCATTCATGTCTTGCTATTGTTTACTAACCTGCTTCAGCTAACCCTTTAGCTTAAAAACTCGCTGGAGAGTCAGGGAATAGTCTTTTTCAGAGCCTGTTTTTCTTCCCTCTGTGCTCCAGAGATTTTCTTACTAAGCATTTTTAAATTAAATGCATTAGGGTTGTATTTTGGCCATTATGCTTGCTGTAGTCCCTAGGTGCCCATTTAGAGTTGATCTTGCCTTTATCTGCCTAAACTGTCATAAATAATCATACTAAACCCAGCAAAGGTTGCAGTCTCATATTTGTGTAGTTCAAGTCACATAACGTATTCTAACCATCAAGAACAAAGTGGGAATAAAAATTACTGCATTCAACATTCATCTTTTTGTTTATGCTAAGAAGAGGTTTTAAGTTCCTGAGCTAAGTGTTGAATCTTATTTTCTTGAAATCAGCTTTTCTTTCTGTCTACAAAAATAAAATTCATGTGTATAATTTATAGCTTTTACAACCTCATACTCCAACCAGTGCAAAAAGCAGCTGCCTGGTATCTTCTTCTTCTCAGTTCCTCATGATGTCACTCCCTGACTCCTCAAACGCATTTTGGCTCAAAAGCAGACTCCACTCATCTCAAATTAGTTTCCAGCTCTTGCCTTTTTAGTGAGTGTTGCTTGTGTCTGTACTGATGCTAACCCCCTGTTTCTATCCATTTGTTGCTGATTAGCGAGGTGTAAAGTTATCGAATAACATCAAGAATTGATAAAGGTCATTGCCACATGTCTGTCCTGTGCTAGCTATCTGGAGATGGGTTAGAAGATGGTAAAATGAGTTAATGTTTACCAAACATTATAAACATTGGTTGCAGTATTTCCTACTCCTGTGACTGGAGGCGCTGAAGGTATAAAAGAACATGACAGTCCTTGACCAAATGGAAGCTGGACAGCAGTGAAGTACAGGTGTATTGGATACTGGGTTTGACAAACTTTGGTAGCAGGCTTTTCCTCCTGGTCTGCCTAATTTTATTCTTTTCAAGGACCACACTGTAACCAGTCTGTTTAAAGCAAGAGAGGTGATGATGTTACCCCAGATTAATGACAGCCTTATTCACTCCCTAGATCTCCAATGCTATCCAGGCCAAGAACGCTCACTCATTCCAGTGGAGTTTCTGGAGCATGCAGTACAGCTTTATCCTGTGTGCTTTTGTTGGTGTCTTTGGAGGAGGTTTTTTCCTCCTGACATCTTTCTACATTGAGGAAGATCGTAAAGAAGCGGAGAGGCTTTGAGGTTTCTATATATCTTTATAACTTTTAAACCTGTATCTGATTGCTTTCCTGTTAGTACACTAGCCATGATATCGGCTCTGTAAAGTTAAAACACAAATGTCTGCATTATGTTAATACCCCATTAGTTTCATTAAAAAAAAAAAAATCCCAGCAAAGTCTCAGATTAAACAAACCTCCCATATTGAGCAAAAACAGACTGCAGAACACACAAGGACCAGGGAAGTGCTATTAGTGACATCTTCAAAATGCTGCAGTATATGGAGGTCATAAAATAGCTTTCCTGTAATGCACCATTACAGACATCATGGAAGGTGCAGTTCTTTTTCTACTCTGGTCTTTCTGAGCCCAGTAGAACCAGTCCTAGCTCTCTGTAATACTACTTCTCCCTCTTCCCTGAAAGAAATCATATTCAAAGTGTAAAAGACTTAAAGAAAACCTGTTGAATTGGACAGAACATGGCCCTCAGTCACCTAGATTCTTACAACTTCCTTCTGCTCTGACTTGGTTTTCTAGGTACCAGAAATGAATGCTGTCTTTCAAATGAAGATGAACTCTGGGGCAAGATTTGCAAAGAAGAAAAGAATGTCCTCTCCATTTTCTTTCCTTTTTGCCTAATGAGATACAGCTAGAGAAAAGGCCAAATCACAATTTCTCCATATGGCAGAAAATCCTGCATACTGACTTTTTTGGATGCTTTTGACTGTGAGTCAAAAATTGCTACTGCATTGGCATATGGCAACCCTCCCCCATCTGCAGAACAGGCACGAGTATTCTGTGGAGCTGGGGAGCTCCAGAAGGTAGAGTATAGAGCTGTCACAGGCACCACTGCTAACCTCAACAAGACAGTAGCATTTAAGGCAGAATGTCTTGTGGAGATTAGGAAGGAAGGCCTATGAATTCTCAGCAGGATCAGATTTGTCTGTAGAATTTGGAAAATGCAGATAGCACAAAAAGTGTTTTCAATTGTCTGAAGTGACCAAGAGAAGCAGAAACTATCAAAGTCAGTGTCAGATTCGAGAGTGGAGGGTTGTGATCATTTTATAAGTAATATGTTAATGGCCTCTTTCTAATCCTTTGGGGCTCTTCAGTCTATCCTCAGGCCCTGGGCAAGTATCTCCTCTCAGGAGTGCACAGTGGTAGCTGTAAAACCACTTAAACATAACTATCCATTTGAGCTCTTATCTCTAAAGTGCATAAGACTTTGGATGTAGCATTTGTTGTCATAATCTCATGCCAGGTGCCAAACGGAACATGATTAGTGTAGCCAGCTTTCATTGTTTGAAGTGGTGTAATTCCCAGCAGCACCTTAAAGCCAAAGCCTGAGGAAGATATTAGCAAGGGAATTGTGAAGTATTATGAATCTTGCCTGATTCTCCCAGTAAATCATAAGGATCATAAAGCACAATATTCCTGTAATGACTGTGAATATCTAATGTCATTATAAATAACATAATTCAGCAACTGCAGGGTTTTGTTTCTCCCTCTCTCTCCCTCATTTTTAAAAAATCTGTTCTGAAACCTGACTTAAACCCAGGTCATGAAATTTGGCCAGAGCTTATGCCATTATGGGAAATAATAAAGAAACTTTTTTGTGATACTCAGTATAATAATTATTTTTAAAATAAAAGTTGGTATTCTGAAAGACTGAGCAACTTTTTGAGGTTGTAAAAACTAGCCAAAGCCATTATACTACTGATGTTTTGGAAATCCATGTGGTGCCAGAGAACCCACATCCAACAAGGGATTTTTACTATTGGATATGGACACATCAGCTTGTAGAGGTCCTAAGTACTTGTCTTCACATTTTTCAGGCTATTTTTTAAGCTACCTGGTAGCAATGTTTGGATTGAAACCTCTTGCTTATGTTCGGCAGACTTGGTGAAATTTGTAGCATTTGCCTTCCAGCTAGAGGGAGAACAATTCACTTTGCACCAATGCCTCATTGTAGGATGAATTTGGGAGGTCTAAAAATGTTATTTAAGGCCTTCTCAATTCACTGCACACTTGAGGTTGAACTTGCAAGAGCCTGAGATTCATCTGGTACACTGTTACGGTACCACGCGTGGTGTTTGACGATATCCACATGGCTCTAGCAAACAGCTACTTTGTCCAAAAGCTGAATTCTGAGATGAGGTGAAATTCACCAGTGCAATGTATTGCAAAGCAGTGTCTTCACTAGATACCATTTACTGTTACATCGCTTTATGCCCAGAAACTGATGGAAGAGTTCTGTGACAGGTGCACATCAGTATTTGAGGCCATAAAATTATTTTAATTTCATTTCATTCCATGATATTTGCTAGTGACAACAGTGCCAGATCCTTCCTTAGTAATTTATCAGAATTTCTCAGAAGCTGCATATAAGCGTACCACCATAAAGGTTTGCATTGAACTTCAAGTCTCTTGTACACAATATATAGACATGTATATTATGTACAGCCTAATTCTGAAATTGGATGGGAATATTGGTATTAGGTAATGATTTGGTTTTGGTAAAGAATTCCTTTTATAAGGTAAGCTGATACTATGAAAGGTGTTGAGCGTGGATTTACAGAGCTCTGAGGATCAGTAAGAGAATCACAAGATTCTACCTCTGTTGCCAAACTCTAGAGATAAAGTTTGCAATTGCTAAAATCATTGACAGCTGCAAACCAGATGCCCCCAAACACCACAGCTGATTCCTTGAAACTCAGGCAGACAGGCCAAGATCTTGAGAATAATTTTTTGCATTATTCAGCTATGGTAGGACTTAAGCGGCTTGATAGTGCTTCTCTATTGGTATGTTCACGATTTGCCGTGTAAACAGATGATCTATTTATCACTTCTGTTAAGTCAGCATTAAATTCTTCTTAAAAAAAATAAAAATCAGAAACTCTATCTGGAATACTGCAGAGGCACGCATTTGACATATGAGCAAGAGATGCCAAGTGCTGTTCTGTAGATGGTACATGAAGTCCGTGACAAACTCATTCCTACTCCTACTCTTATCTCCTCTGTGAAAGTCAGTGCCTAGAAATTAGCAGGATCACACCGACTAGTTCAATTCCATCTTTTCAAATGCTTCTCTCTTTTCTTTGTAATGTGAGGGGAGAGGACTTTTATTTTTTGTTACTTTTTTTTTTGCATTTTAGCAAGACTAACATCCAAGCCAAGAGGCTGGATGCTCTGGGCTGCGCCTGGGCCTCCCTGGAGCTGTGCTGTCCTCTCTCTTGCTGAGAACTGCTGACTTAGAGGTCGTGCAAAGGTGCAGTGCCTGTGTGAAACAGCCCTGGGAGGCTCTGCCTCCAAAGCAGGGAAACTGTTTCCATCGTCTGTTTGGCCCTGTGTCTTAAATAAAGATAAAACTTCCTCACTAGGATATGTAAAAGGAGTAGAATTTCTTAAAATTTTCTGCGTGTCTTGAATTTGCTTCTTAGCAGGTGGTACCAAATTTGGCACTGAGGGGTTAACACAACAGTTTCTTAGTGCTGGAGGGGGCTGTTTTGAGTTGTAGCTATTTAAGATATTACACTTTTTGCATGCTATCAAAAACCTGTGTCAGAGAAAGTCGCGGACTCCTGTCACACGGCCAGCAAAGGAACAAAAGTTCTCTTTAGGCATCAGTTGAAACACTAGTTGTTTTCTATGGTTCCAACCGAGTAGAAGTAGAAGTAAGAAAAAAGAAAAAAGGGCTTAAAGAAGTTAAAGTTAAAGCTGCTCTATCTAGGTTGGAAAGAGCTGCTGCTGGAAGCTGCAGGTTATTGAGACAGTTTGTTCTGCAGCATTCAAGCTGCTTGCAATCTGTGTCCCTTGCATCAAATGAATGACAATCGAGCAAGTTGACAAAACTTGTACCGTCTGTAACTGTTTGTATATTCTCCTCCTACCTTTAACATTTCTTCTTTGCTCTTTCCAACCAAAAGAGTGGGTAAGAGGCACTTTGGAACAGCTCCAAAAGGTGTGATTTTATAAGTACATTCAGGTAACGATTTTGATCTTTTCCTTCTCTTCCCTCATTCCCCAAAGCAGGGACAGGTGATTGGTACTGACCTTTAGTACTGTTTATGTGGATAGTTTTTTAAACAAGTTTTAGAACTCTGCTTGGCATAAAAATTGCCTTCAGAGTTGTGATTATTTCTAGCTTCTGCTAAATGCCTGTAAAGGCATCAAGTGGGCAGGACATGTCCAAGACGCAACAGTACCGTGGTGTGGAACTGCTTCTCCAGAGTGATTCCTTCCACCAGTGATGAGGTATGAGATTGCTATCAGCAGAATTTTAGTTGTCAAAGATGTTTCATGTAACTTTTTCTCTCCCTCTCTTTCCCAAACAAGTAGCCCTGTGCACTGCTCCTGAAGGAGGTTTCGCAGCGCCTAAGAAATCTTTCTGTACTGTGGCTGAAGGTGTGCAGATGTGGCAGACCACAGCTTTCCAGGATACAGATTTATATGTTCTGTCTAGGCTGCTCTCTCCTAAGAAGATGTCGTGTTTTATTCCTCTTTGCCCTCATCACTTGTGCAGCTGAATTGTCTTTTGCAAAATGTTTTGCAGGACAGCTGTGATCCTTTATAATGCTACTGACATAGCTGTGGGTGTCAAAAGTGTCATTTGGCTTCAAAAAAAGACTCAAGGTTGCTGCTGTCATTTGGAGGGACTTGTCCTGAGACTGGATCAGTTATGACAGTCCCAACCCTGATGCCTGGTTTTTCACTAACCCATTCCTAACTTCCGCTGAAGAAGACTTTAGCACCTTCATAGGTGGCCTGTGGCAGTACTCCATCAATGAAAAATTGGCAGTTTCCCCCTACTATTCCATTGCAGAATAATTGGCTGAATTCTGTCTCGCTCATCTCCCCTGCACTTGTCTTCCCTTGTACTCCCTCCGTTGTCCACTGACTAGAGATTCACTTAGTGCCTTTATCATTAGGTATATATGGCCTCTGAGTTTAGAATCTGTGGAACAATTAACTGATTCCTGTTTGGAAAGTAAGCTAAAAGAAGTACACACTGTCCACCTGACAATAGCACCATACAAGCACAGAAAGGCCCGACCAGCCAAATTTATGCAGTAGCTGAAATCATTAGTTTTTCCTTAGCAGTAGATCCATCATCTCTGCTTTT